GCATTGTCTGCTATTTTCCAAATAGCTCTTATATTACAGACTGGAACCCAAGAGAAGTGGGTATATGATGGGCACAGAACACAAAGCCACTGAAAACTGAAACACATTAAATGCAGCACTTGGCAGAGCAGGCGGGATGAAGTTCTCAATTTCTTTCATTTCCTGGCAATTTAGCATACTCCATTACATAGTTCCTCCTTTAAGAGTTCCCGTGCAAATTACACACAGTTTTCATACCACTACTAAATATTCAGAAAAAGATTCTAACTATAGCTGGCACTAAGCCCCAAAATACTTTCTTCAAACAATCTCTTCCAAATGGAAGGAAAATGTGTGCTGCAGACTCATCCTGTAACTTCCCATGCTGCCTCTGCTGCACACCCAGCCTAGCAGCTGCTTCCATGGACATGGCTTGATCTTCCCCCCGTGAATGATAAGGCAGGTCACTGGTTAAGAAGCTGCTACTAATGACAACTATGGTATCATCATTTTACTAGTGGCAAAACACGATTAATGATACTATTACTGGGTTCTGTAGCACTGAGATGAGAAAGAACACATTATGTAGAGAGAGTGTGACGTGCCAACAGGTGCATGTTTCATCTTAGAAACATGACTAGTTTAAGGTTGCTGATCCCCCCCATTAGTGTTTTCATTTCCACAGAAATTTAAAATTTGGTTATAAGCATGATGCTAAGTGCTTTGTGAGGCATAAACCACAATCATATCCCAAATCACAGATGTATGTTCTGAAGTGACTGTTACACAGATAAAAATTGTTGTCCAGCCACAGTGCTGTAATTGTTAGCCATTCATTTACCAACCTTGTAGATAACAAGTATGAAAGATGAAAAAGACAGACTCTCACCTGGTATGTTTTGGGTTTTTTTTAAATTTATCTGTACGTGTCTATTTTAATTTGGGTTAGGTATTGTAAATGTGTGTCGGGAAATTCCATACCCATTAAACACTGAGACATTCATTAGCAGTTATAACAAGCTAGAAAAAGAAGGAAGCATATTATCAGCATATTGAAAGAACCACAATTTGGAATACTTCATTGGCTCTCTTAATAGTTCCATATATGTACCAAAGAGAGTGCAAAAATGATAGAACCCCACAGATCTTCATTTGCCAGTGCTTTTGGCTTTGTGAAGCAATCCCAGCAGATGGTGTGGGGCAACTGTTGAATAAAAATTAAAAAGCAATTCAGAAGGAACTCTAAAGGGACTTGTCTCTGGGGAAAAGAAACTCTGTTGCATATTTAGGTGATCTTAGTTGTGCAGAAGAAGACCTGAAAATCTAATTTCAGTTTACTGTCTAAAGAAAATTGTATCTTTTGCTGGGATTGCCATGCAGCAAAGATGTCTTTCTGCATGCATGTGGGGTGACACACATAGATATTGTAGGTAATCTTCTACAGAGAGACTCTGTAAAGGCTGTGAGGTTTTGGGTTTTTTTAATAGATAAATTTTTGATTATAAGTCCACCATTAAAAGTCACTAGAAGACTTATTTTTGCAGACTGTTCTCGAAGAAAGAAGTTAAGAGTGCTAGTATGGAATTCAGATGTCACTGAGGTGATTTAATGCTTTGGGGGTTTTTTAAAGTTGCATTCCTAAATACAATTTTATAATTCAAATGATGAATGGATATACCTTTAAGATTTTTCACTGTAGTGAGTTAAAAGCAACTGCAGTTTTCAAATTTTCATGTGATTATGATGTGAAAAAATGAGAAGCTAATTTGGACAAAGTCCCCAAACTGTTGATTATTGTAAGTCATGCAATTTATTTATCTGTACTATGGTTCTGATATTAATACTGTTCTGGTGACTGGACATGCACAAAGAGATGCCTTGTTTAGTAATAAACATGAACAAAGGTGATGTAGTAATGCATGAAGATCAAGTTTCCAGGTGGCTAATTTTAGCTGCTTTTAGTGCAGTTGATGTCAAGGTCATCTTGATTTCCTGAGGACCTGATAAGATTGTCAAGAACTTGTTAGGCTCTCAAGGCAGCCAGTACCTGGTCTGAGCACTGTCCTGCAGGTGTGTACTGCTACCAGCAGGAGAGAAACACTCACTCAAGGCATGTAACCTTAGCTTTCTGTTGTTAGACTCCTTAGGGTCATAATTTAGCTCTTAGTGCTCTTAGCTCATAATTTAGCTCTTAGGTAGCTAATCTAAGTGGTTGGTAGATCCACAAGTGAAAAACATTATTTCAATAAAGTGCCGTGTATAATTCAATCACAAATGTGTGACTTGTTAAAATTTCAGAGAAAAGCATTGTCAGTTCCTAGAATATATGAACAGTGGGTGCAACTTCAGGGAGATACTTAGTCTGAAAGGTTTTGTGCACACACAGAATTGAAAGTAATGTTACTCTATTGTAAAGGGCCATACCTACTGTAGGAAAGGTGTTCTTACAGTGGAAGCAATGTTTTACTATGGAAACAGATAAGACAGGATTTGGGAGGGTTTTCTAGGAGGTAGAAGTAGTTTCAGTGTTAAACTTGCCTTCTCCTTGGGGCTTCCTCTATAGTGATATGCAGAGGATGAGAAGGAAGTACTTGTGGAGGAAATGAAATTGGGTTTTTGCTTTAGAGGAGAAAAACCTGATGTCTGTATGTGTTGAGGATGGTAGTTTGTCCTTGCTGGGGGGAAGGATGTTATGCCAGTGAAGGTCTTCAAATGCATGTCCTAAGCAACCACAACAAAATGTTGGAGGAAATGCCTTTCTATGAAAAGCCTACTCAGCAGAGTACTGTTGGCTATTGGAAAGATGCTGTCATGATTCTGCTTCTTGATATTGCCTAGGAACTTGATTGCTTTTACATTGTTTAACTAAGAAATCCTTTAGATATGTGTAGGGTACCTTCTACTCCTGTGAGACAGCGTGTCAAATTCACTTTAATAGTGCCAAAAAGATGCTCCCCTGGCTGTGGATCAGGGCATGTGTGGGGAATTCTACAGCTGTTGTCTGATCTGCTCCCTGAGTATTTTTCGGGGCCAGCTCTGCGGTGTGAGCACCACCAGGGCCCATACCTGCTGCTGTTGCTAATGGCTTTTGCAGGCAGCAGCAGTAGTGTGAATTTGAGGTGATTCCTGCCAATTTCCCTGCTGCCCAGAGGATTGTGTGGAGCAGCAGGGAACTGACAGGAGGCTTGTTTCCTGCACTCGGCTGCTTCTTGGCAAAGCCATTAGCAGCAGCAGATACCCTGGAGCTCCCTCTGTGCAGACTAAAAAAGACAACATTGCATTGCTTTGCATTCGCTCATATTTGGATGATTATCTTTGCAATCGTGAAAAGTACAAACTGATTTTTCCCAATAAAATCTTCAGGTTTTGAATATGTGGTGGCCTCAGGGTTTTCCTTTCCACCTTCACCTATATGTTTGTCAGTTAAAAATTTCTTATTCTAGATGGAATAGGTTTGTAAGCCATTGGTGAGAGGATATATTCCTTAAGGATGTTTTATCTGCGCTCGGTCTCACTGAGGGGGAGGGGTATTTTCAGCTTGCAAAAGGCTTTGCCTTTTTTTTGTAGATGCTCGAGAACCTTTGAAACTGTTTTCATTGCGCATGATGATTTACAACTGTTCAATCATTTTATAGCTGTGCATGTTTTCGAATAATGAAATTATTGGTAGAATAAAAGAGTCTGCGGATTAAATGGCGTTTGTTGCTAAGTACACACAGATCCTGTCCTCTGTAGTGCAAGCATGTTTCACGCTCTAATCTCAAAGCACTTGTGTTGCTTTCCAGTTTTGGTTTTTGTGACAATGGTGACTTTCTTGATGAAGGTTTCGTTACAGATTTATTTGGTTTAGAATGGCTGGCTGGTACCTTCCTGCATCTTCATGAATGTCATTTCCATATGGTTAGAAATGTCATAGCAAAATTATAAAAAGCCTATGGTCTGGGATTTCTAATAAATAGCTTAATATTTGTGCAGTGCAGGAGACAGAACTCGGAAGGGATAATACAGAGCAAGATGCAGAGGGATTATAACATAGAGGAGCCTCGTCCAGCATACTCACAGTTCTACAGTAAGAGTGTAGTAAATGTTGTTGAGGAATAAATTGGGAAGCAGCTTTGAGCTCTGAGAAACTGCAGCAAAGAAACTTTATTATAAAAGAATAAAATATCTAGAAAGAGACTGTAAAAGGATTCACGAAAAAGTCACCATTTCTGGATTACCTACTTAATTATTAAGCATTTTTTGTTTGTTTGTTTCTGGCCCAGGAATGTTCAAGAACCGACTGATGTAACACTTCTGGCTTTAGTAGCACTTGGCTTTTAGAGCTAAAATTATACCCAGGGAACATGAGGAATATTTTTTTTTTGTTTAGCTGATCTCAAAATGTAAAATAGTCGATTAGTTACCATTTTTACTAAGATATGAAATAATCACCCTAAATGATAAATCCCTGTAATTTATTATAGTTACTGTAAGCATAATGTAGAAACATCTTGGCTAGAGTTCTCAAAAGTAAAATTGTGGTAATTGTCCTTGTGATGCTGCTGCATATTTACAGAAATATCTTTAAATTTAAGCGGTATTGTTAAGAAAATAATCAATTTAAATTATTGGTGGCACTAGTATTTCTACTGGACAAGGAACTTAATTTTGAAATTAAATAGAAGTGAAATGACCTTTTAGAGTAATGACTAATCTTAACAATCTCAAAATCTTTGCCATATTTTAAATTTTCTATGGAAAAACATGTATCTTGCAAAATGAAGGTATATGTGTATATTGAGAAAAACAGAAATCAACTCCTGATCTTTCTTCATTCTTCTTGAGTGGGCTTTTGAGAATCAAGGGTATTGCTAGGATGGAGCTATGCTGTCAAAAGCTCCTTTTTTTTAATAATCTTGCAAAAATCCCCAATCTTCTTTTTGGTTTTATTTGCTACGTTCACAACATATCATTTTAAAACTTGTCTGATTTTTTTAAAATAGCACTTTAATCCAACCTGGGAATGAAGAGACGCTTACCAGAGAGCCGTGTCCCGAGGAGGTCTCCACCGCAGGGTCCCGCAGGTCTGGGCAGAGGCAGAGCGATAAAACCGAGCAGTTCTTCCATTTTCTGTAGGAAGCAGGGAAGCCTGTCAGCAAATGATTTATAGTCACTGTTATCGTGTAGTAATGAAGTAAATGCAAGAAAAATAATTTTTAAAAAATCAAAAAGTATATTGGAGAGCAAAATCAGTTTGTGAGGCCAGAGGCTGGGGTTCGGCCGCTGTCCCCCGGGCTGGAGCCGCAGGGCTGCGGTGCAGCGAGGGGCAGCCCAGCACAGCGCCCGGTTCCCACGGTTTTCCGAGGGAGCGAGCCGCCGCTGTGGGCGGCGCTGCGGGCGGGGAGCGCCAAGGGTTAAAGCCGATCCCCGCGGGGGTTAAACGTGGAGCCTAATGGAATAATGACGGGTAGCACCATCTGCTGGCCTAGTTCCGCGGGGAGCGGGTCTAACCAGCGCTAATATTGGCGCTGATGCCTTTTGATGCTTTGTGCGTTTCTTTCCGCGCTTTGTTGGGATCCGGCGGTCCGCGCACGGCGGGGCCGGGCCGGGCCGGGGGCGGCGGGTGCGCGCCGGGCAGGGCGCGGGGATGCTGCTGAAGCGAGCGAGCGCTCGGGGAGGGCTGTGCGCGGCCCGGCTGCCGCTCGCTAAATAGGCCATTTAGCAATCTTCTCCCCATGCTTTCCTCCTGAGCACTGCCGGGGGTGCTGGAAAAGCGGAGGGCAAGTCTTTGTCTGACGCCAAAAATGTCTTCAGTGAAGAGGCCAAGAGGAAGGGTAAGTGAGAGCCTGAATGAGTGGGAGGAGGAGGGGTTCTTTGGGCTAAAAGGCTAATGGGATTGAATAACCTTCCTTATTACTGGCTGCTGCTGCGGGAGCCGCATCGCCATCTTGAGCTGTTCCCGAGCTGGGTCCGGCTGTTTGTTCCAGCCCCGGGGCTTTAAGGTGGCATCGGGAGCGGCCCCGTCCCTGCCTCCCGCCCCCGCCGCCCATGAGGCACCTATAGAACATGTATCCCGGGAAGTGCGCGGGGTTTGGCCACAAAATGGGTTTGGAAATTCCTGCTGGCTTTTCTTCCTGCCCTAGGCAGAGGCGCATTTACGGGTGAGAACGTAACGTAACTGTTATCTGCTGGGGTTTTGTGTTTGAATAGGAAATTCTTTCCATTCCTCAAAGGGGGAGGGGAGGAAAGCAAAAACATGTCTTCTGGCTGGCTGCAGGAGAAGCTCATCAGCCCCGTAAACAATTCTGCGTCCATGAAAGGGGCATTAAAATCCCGAAGATAAAAACAAGTTACGTCTTTTATCCAAGGCGTATGTTGATTTAAATAAAAGAGGCGCTGCTTTCTGATCCGTTTATGGATAGAGTGCTGTGTAATTTTAGTTTTGGTTATATCTTTTGTCTGTTTTTTAATCTTGGTGTTGTTCGAGCATCTGTTGTGTTCATCACCGAGTTAGTCCTGTATTTCATTCGTCTGCTTTAAGGGAACTGTGGTCCTGGTATCCTAGCTAAGGCAAAACACTGATGCTGTTACCTTCGGGAGCTCTTTGCTTTTTCGTATTTTACTAGAGGTGTTGGAAGTGTGTGTCAATTGTATGGGAATGCTGCAAAGGTTAAGGTTTGCTTTCTTCAATTACAGAGGTGGAGAGATGGCTGAGAGAATTTCAGAAGGATAATTTTTACTGACTTTGAGTACTTGGATTGGTTGTTTAAAACCAACAATTGATGCAGTTATCTTGAAACCCACGCCATTCTGTGGTATAAATGGAATTCCTCGTTTTTTGTGTCCATATAAGTCTCTGGCAGTTACATTTTTTAAAAAATGTATATCCCTATCAAAAATGTTTGCACTTTTTTTTTTTTTTTTTTTTAAATAAGGGAATTTAATTTACTTTTTGTTTCTTGCTACAGCCTCCTTCCAAGAAGACTGATGGTTCAGGATCCTATACTAAGTTGCAGAATACCCAGGTGAGGGGAATGTCTGAAAAGAAGCAAAAGAAAAAAACAGACTCGGAAAGTAAACAAGAGAAGGCGAATCGCATAATATCTGAAGCAATTGCAAAGGCAAAAGAGAGAGGAGAGAGAAACATTCCACGAGTAATGAGCCCTGAAAACTTCCCCAGTGTTTCAGCTGAAGGAAAAGAGGAAAAGAAGGGTAGAAAAGTTAAATCCAAACCAAAGGATAAGGAGACCAAAAAGCCGAAAACTGGTTCCTCATCCAAAATTAAAGAGAAAACAAAAATTGGGTAAGTAGATTAAAACATTGCCTTCAGACTGTGAATTGTTGATTAAAATGGAAACTGCTTACTGATAATAAAATGTTCTCCTCCACTGCCTACACAAAATTCTTCCTGATTAAGTCCATGTGTGGACTCCCTCATTCAGGAACAAGAATGCTCTGTTTTCTCTTTAGATAAAATCACTGTAGGAGTGTCCTTTTGAAAGGAATTATTTTAATACAGATTTTAAAATATTCTGTACTTTGAAGCGTAGACCGAAATATCTTTTCTGTAGTTTTGTAATCTAGTCTGACTCCAAACTGAGTTTTTGTGGATTATAAATGCTGTCTTTATCCGTTTTGGCATGTAGTTTCAATACAGTGTGTTTGATAAACTTCAGAGGGAGAAATTGGAAGTTTAATGAACTTGTAAGCAAGAGAATATTCTTTCAGATATCACATCTGTATCAAAAGTAAAGCACATACTCGAAATATTAAATTCGAAGAACTTTGTAGTCTTCTTTTATATCAGTTTAATCTGCCCTCTTAAATATTTTGCAGACTCAGCTGGGTCAAGTTGGGTGGATACCTTGGGGTGAGGAGCTTTTGGAGTGCTCCAGGGGTTTCAGGAACTGGCTCATCTTGGGACTCCAGAGCTAATCTATGTTGCCAGTTTACTTTTAAAGTAGAGTGTGTGATTTCCAATATTAAGTACGTCAGTTAGAACTTGAGATAGAAATCTTAGTTACACTCTGAGTTTTAGTTTTTTTAATCCATGCTCTTTTTGCAGTAGCAGAAATATTAACTGGCACATCTCTGAAGTTTAAATGTCTCATATCCATATATATTTTTTAGAGTATGGAGCAGAAATGAATGTTCTTTTAAGCAGCCTATATCGCTGCATTTTTCTTTTTTTCTTGTAGAGATCAGTGATTTTTTTCTTACATGTTTGAAGTAAACAATTTTGAGAAGTTATCCTGCAGTGTGAAGGTTACTGCTCTATACCCAACTTCATTCTTAACGTGAAATTTGATGGTGTTAATTTCTTTCTGTTCTGTTTATGTGTTGGCATCTGATGCTGCTTGTAAGCATCAAGTAGTGCTTCCTTTTCTTTTTTTCTCCATCTAGTTTAAGGTGGGGTTTCAGGTGTGTACTTTTGTGAGGTTGATTTCACTTCCATGTTTCTGAATTTATTCATATTCTTTAACAATCATTTTGTGTGTCTGTCTAACCAGAAAACTTACACTGTTGTTCTGGTAGTGTCAGTTTCATGAAACCTTGTGGTTTGTCCTGAGTGTGCTTTTTGTTCATTCTTTTGGGTAATTGACAAAACCTGCCAAAATAACATCATTACGATATACTGCGTAGTTGCTATTATATTTTTACTGTTTTTAAAGAAAAAGAAAAGTAAACTGTTACCTACAGTTTATGATTCTGCACTCAGTTTTGTCTTGGTGAAATGCTTTGCTGTGCACATCACTTAGGATCAGTTTTCAGGATTTCATCAGACGGCGTCAGTAGAGAAAGGGACATTTCTCAAGCCGTGTTTTTAACTAAGGTGTCTGTTTGATGCAGAGTACATGTAAGCTGGTAGAGGAGTTCCCATTTAGTTATTTTCAATGTTTCATCATTTTGCATTGAGCTGTGAAGGTTTGTCTCCCCGTTATTTACAGTTTAACCAGCTAATGCCCCAGTAGCACTCTGCTAACTTTGTCATGCTGCCAGGTATTGCTTTCTTAAGAAAGATACATTCCTAAAGATGGAGCAGTCAGGTCCTGGTGAGAACCTGTGAAGAGCCTTCTAGAACCACATAACACAGATTTCTGTTCATATTCACAGAATTCCATTTTACTTAGATGGGCAGCAACAAATCAAATGCTTTGAGACATCAAGATACTTAATTTTTGTATCCAAACAGATTCATGTGTTGTGTTGAATTAACACTATTGTATATTATTGATGTAAATATACAAAATAATAACTGCTTAGCAAGGAATACACCAGGGATTTTGCAGAGCAGCAATTGCAATAAGGCCTTGATTTTTTAAAAGAATAATCTTACCAAACCCTGCTTTCTATGCAAATGTAACCGCTGATATTATAGCAGAATAATTGCTACAAAAGCACTATACTTGTCTTTTCAACCATGGTTAAAAAAAAAAAAAAATTGTGATTAATAAATTTTGTTTTATTCAGTGAAAACCAAAATTAAAGAAGAAGGCGTTTAGAAGACTAAACAGCTCTTGTAAAGGTTTTGTCCTATCTTCTGTTCTTGAAAAATATTTCTTAATTAATTTAAGCATGTCTTTGGAATTATTAAATCAAAATAGAATTGGTTTTTTAAGTGTGTGGGTTGCTCCATTGATTTTTCTCATTACCTTAAAATAAACTTTGACTGAATCTTGGGAGAAAATTTTACTATGCTAAAATAATACCTGTAAAAGACAAGTGCTTTATTGGGCAGGAAGGGAAGGGAGGATCTCAGTTCAATGAAAATGGTTTTTTTCTTTGGATGGAAAGACTTTTGAGATCTGTTTAAAATGGGATAAAAAATAATTAAATTTCTTTTTAAATCAATAATGAGAAGAACTTATATATATATATATATATATATATATATATTATATATGGCATTCCTTGAATTTAATCAGAAAACAAAGCCTGAAGTCCCCTCATGTTTTAAAAATATTAGTAAACAATTTCCAACTGTTAGAAGCTATTATGAATTATTTTTTCTGCAAGCCAGTATAGTTGGGAGTGAAACCTTAAAGCCAGTGAAGGTTTACAATAAAAAAAAAAAAATATCAATATATCTTTTTAATAGTGGTGGAGGATTTGTTTGGGTGCATCTGCTGTTCCATTTTAAAAGGAG